CAGAGAGTCGGACATGACTGAACGACTAACACTTCCACTTTCTCTAAACTGGTCCTAGGAGAACAGAAAGTCCTCAGAGAATATGAATATTTGCAGCATATGTTGGTTGAATTATAAACAGGAAAAGGTTTCAGTGGGATGTATTTTTTAATGAGAACACATTGTTATCCTGTGAGCATGTGGCATTCTTGCTTAACAGAAACACTTACAAGAACACATACACATTTATATCCAAACACCAAATGAAGATATCTTCAATGACCAATTTGCACCAGAAAGAAAATATATTATACAAAACAGGGGTTCTATCCACAGTCATTAATTTTCATTTTCTACACAAAACAACAATAAATTAAATCACATTATATGCAGATAGTTCTACTTACATTAGAATAATAAACTGTATGTAGCTGTCAACTTTTTACTTTCATTTTTCTACCAGACTCATGGTAAGTGTATAATGTTTGGTAGTCCAATATGTAAATTACTGATGAATAATATGGCCCAGAAGACAAGGGCTGCAGAAGTAACTGCCCACAATGTCTGTTCTGTGTCCTCTTGGATTCAATTTTTCACCATGCACAGGGAACAGTGCTCAGATTCCCAGGATTCAGCAGAAACATCTGCAAACTCACAGCATCTCCAGGGCAGTAAGGGTACCTCATTGCTATCTTGTAAGACACACCACACTACACACTTTAAGATCTTGACAATGAATAATAAATAGGACATCCTGTCTCAAAATCCAAATGTGCCTGTTTCTCAACCTTCTCTGTCCTAGTATTATGTGCTATAACAGCTTTGTTCTCCCAGCAAATAAAAAACACTCCGGTAGCCTATGTTGTGACTTACGCTGGTGAATGGGCCCTTTATTCCTTGCACATAGAAATTTAGGTCTTTAAACATGTGACTCAAAGCAATGCAGCACTTTTTGCTAACTCTTAATTCTGCTTGTTCAAATATGTCCCCTGGGAATCACCGCCTAGTACATCAAAGAGCTATTATAACATATGGATTTTTACTTCTGAGCCTTGGCTCCCATTGAAACCCTTTTACTGTGTTTGAAGTAGCTTAAAATATGAACATTAACAGCATCAGCTGGTTTAAAATTTCTTTGCCTTTGGTATGAATGAACATTAGTGGTTAATGAGAAATCTGAACAAACTCCAATCCGGCACCTCTTGAAAGTCATTTTAATCCTAGAGTCTAGCTATGGGGGCACGCCTGCAAGAGACATTTGTACGAGCTCCACGCTGAAAACTGAAGCCAGTTTTGTTGGAGTATATGCACATCAGAGGCTTGTACTACCCCAGGAGCACATGGCCAAGTTACGTAAGGGTTCTGATCAAAAGTCAGCCACATTCTTATAGCCAGCACATACATGTCTTCGTTCTGCCTTTTGAGGAAGTATGGAGGTCCTACTCACAGGCTGCTACCTGCATGGCATGAAGCTGCTGCATCTTTGGAGCCATGATGGACAGTGGATGGGGGAGGGGAGAGGGGCGGTAAATATGGGGGCAGCTGGCAACACTACCCTCTTCCATTTCTTTTGGAAGAGCTTGATCCTGACTCTTCTCATGGGAGAGGAGCTGAATTATAGGTGGTTCTAAAGGTGGATCAATAGATGATTTTGAATTATAGGTAGTTCTAAAGATGCACTGAAAAAGAAACAGGTTCCTCTGAACAGCACCATCTTACTCTGTTTTCACACTGCTCCCAAAACATATTCCATATTATTAGTTTCCTGTTTTTTCACTAAGGAGGGAATTCAGCCTACCCTCAGCTTTCTCATGAAGCACTGAACCACAGGGCATAACTAAACAAAACCCATGAAAGGGACTTGATTTTAGTTGGTGTTTGGTTTTATGACTGCATCCACTCAGGATCTGAATGCTTTGTGTCCCAAAAAGTATAGGTATGTATTCCTTTCATTTACAGGCACTCCCCGAATACCAGTGGCATAATATTCTATTTGGTTTCCCAAAGAGACTTTCACAAAAAGACACTTCATGCTCACTCACAAGAAGGTGGTAAGGCCACTGGACCTACTCTGAATTCCTGTCTCTGTTTAAGGTCTATACAATGGCCTTAATTCCATGGTCAAGGACAAATATCACATTCCCAAAATCAGCAGCAACCAAAGGGAAGTGGTCAGTTATGGGCGCAAAAGGCACAGGAGCTTTGAATTAGTGAGTGATCCCAGGATCCTGTGAGCAGGGAGACGTGACTAACATTCCAAGTCTTTGAATTTAAGGAAGAGGAGAAAAGAAGGCATCAACTTTCCATGTTTCTCCCCTCCCTGAAGAGTCAAGAACCATTTTAAAGCCTGCAAAACTATGTCTGTGGTTCAGGAAAGGACAAGCTGATGGTTCTTCTGAGAAATGAGTGTTTACATGGATTTCCTCGGGGAACCTGTGGGGGCAGATACATACTCTATACAGGAAGTTCTTCCTGGATAGAAGTGATCATTTAGAGGAAGCTTTTACTTAAAATATGAACATTAACAGCATCAGCTGGTTTAAAATTTCTTTGCCTTTGGTATGAATGAACATTAGTGGTTAATGAGAAATCTGAACAAACTCCAATCCGGCACCTCTTGAAAGTCATTTTAATCCTAGAGTCTAGCTATGGGGGCACGCCTGCAAGAGACATTTGTACGAGCTCCACGCTGAAAACTGAAGCCAGTTTTGTTGGAGTATATGCACATCAGAGGCTTGTACTACCCCAGGAGCACATGGCCAAGTTACGTAAGGGTTCTGATTAAAAGTCAGCCACATTCTTATAGCCAGCACATACATGTCTTCGTTCTGCCTTTTGAGGAAGTATGGAGGTCCTACTCACAGGCTGCTACCTGCATGGCATGAAGCTGCTGCATCTTTGGAGCCATGATGGACAGTGGATGGGGGAGGGGAGAGGGGCGGTAAATATGGGGGCAGCTGGCAACACTTCCCTCTTCCATTTCTTTTGGAAGAGCTTGATCCTGACTCTTCTCATGGGAGAGGAGCTGAATTATAGGTGGTTCTAAAGGTGGATCAATAGATGATTTTGAATTATAGGTAGTTCTAAAGATGCACTGAAAAAGAAACAGGTTCCTCTGAACAGCACCATCTTACTCTGTTTTCACACTGCTCCCAAAACATATTCCATATTATTAGTTTCCTGTTTTTTCACTAAGGAGGGAATTCAGCCTACCCTCAGCTTTCTCATGAAGCACTGAACCACAGGGCATAACTAAACAAAACCCATGAAAGGGACTTGATTTTAGTTGGTGTTTGGTTTTATGACTGCATCCACTCAGGATCTGAATGCTTTGTGTCCCAAAAAGTATAGGTATGTATTCCTTTCATTTACAGGCACTCCCCGAATACCAGTGGCATAATATTCTATTTGGTTTCCCAAAGAGACTTTCACAAAAAGACACTTCATGCTCACTCACAAGAAGGTGGTAAGGCCACTGGACCTACTCTGAATTCCTGTCTCTGTTTAAGGTCTATACAATGGCCTTAATTCCATGGTCAAGGACAAATATCACATTCCCAAAATCAGCAGCAAGCAAAGGGAAGTGGTCAGTTATGGGCGCAAAAGGCACAGGAGCTTTGAATTAGTGAGTGATCCCAGGATCCTGTGAGCAGGGAGACGTGACTAACATTCCAAGTCTTTGAATTTAAGGAAGAGGAGAAAAGAAGGCATCAACTTTCCATGTTTCTCCCCTCCCTGAAGAGTCAAGAACCATTTTAAAGCCTGCAGAACTATGTCTGTGGTTCAGGAAAGGACAAGCTGATGGTTCTTCTGAGAAATGAGTGTTTACATGGATTTCCTCGGGGAACCTGTGGGGGCAGATACATACTCTATACAGGAAGTTCTTCCTGGATAGAAGTGATCATTTAGAGAAAGCTTTTATTTCTGAGTCCAGCAAAGAAAAAATTCTAAAATGATGATGATAACCATAAAAACCTAGACTTATTTCCAATACCACAAGTCAATACACTAAAAGTATATACTCATTTTCACCTGTATCTATGTCAACTTATGTTAGACCAGATGAGAAAATACTGATAAAGTATCCCCTTTTGGAATCTGAACACCCTGGATTTCAGGATAATAATTTATAAAATGATTCAACAACTAAAGTCTTGTTTATCTTACTATATGATATGTGGCTACTGGCAAAGTATGAATGACTAGTTGTCAAAGATGTTAGCAGTTAGAAAATTAAATCCTGAGTTATAAATCTCCAGAAGTCTTAAACCAGGGTAAAGTTGAGCAAACACCTACACCTTTAGCAAAGGTTTTCCAACTTTTCAAAACTTAATAGGGTTTTATAACTTATATGACAATTTCATGGAAGAAAGGATAGACGACAGATGTGTAAATAAGCAATCAACCTCAAGAACTGTAGAATTGCTTTAAGATTGGAAGAGAATGGCATCCACATATCATAAATCTCATGATTGGCTCTACCATTTTTAAAAGACTAAATTATCCTTTAAAACTTTTAAGATTTTATGTGGGAATCATAATATTAAGTTTACTACTATTCTTCTACCTGAAAGAGAAATAAAAGATATCTGCTTTAAAAATACTAGAGTTGTTATATTCAAATATCTTTTGATATTGATCTCTAATATAATTCCACAGTAGAAGAGAACATATTCTGCATGATTTCAATATCTCTAGACCATCAAATTTTTGCACCTGGTCTCATGTCCCTGGCTGTGTTCCAATGTCTCCTAGTATAGAGTCTATGGGAACTTGAATAGAATTTGCATCCTACTGTTGTGTGAAAATTGTATAAATCCTAATTATGTAGAATTGGTTCACAGCGCTTTTCAGGTCTACTATATCCGCCTACTTCTCTGTATATTCATTCTATTAATTTTTGAGAATTTTATATTGAAACTCCAACTAAAAATCTTAATTTATCTACTTAAAAAATAATTGTAACATATAGTAGAACTACATGTAACTTTGTTCTGTATTTTCCAAGTCACCTATAAATGTGTTATCATGCTTTCATAATTTAAAAAATAAAAAAATATTAATCACCCTCTATAAAAATTCTAGAAAGGTTACAAATGTTTCCACCCAAAGACTGCAACCAGGTAGAGCATTTTTTTCCCTGTAATAAGTACATAGGCTCAAATTTAAATGTTTTTTTACAAACACAAGATAATGGAAAATGAGTACTTCTAAAATATATGGAAAATACCACTGAAAAATAAAAATAGAGAGAAATAAACTCAATTCACAAAAATAAGACAAATGCAACCCTTCCATTCTGTTCCCATGCTGAGCAGTCCTGAGATGTTACACACTTTGCTTTCCTGGATTTCACTTCCCAAGCTCTCTTCCTATGTTAGAATTTCTGGAGCTGGCCTCTCTTGCCTTCTTTTTCCCTCCTGTTTTGATCTCAGCACTTTTTCCACTGCACTCAGCATGGAGAGCTACAACATAGCTCTTTCAGTTGATCAGAGTTCATCCTTTTATCATGTTCTCCAGCTGCATGAATTCCATTTTTAAACAATATAGGGGAAATGTGCCTTACACGGAAATAATCCATTCACTGTGACTAGCTGAAATAGAAGAGACGGACGCCCCCAGGGAAGCAAGCTCAGGCCAACTTCCAGGACACGCAGTTCTCACATGCCCCACCTCCACCTCCATTACCAAAGTAAACCACAACTTCCATCACTACCTAGCAATGGCTCCAATTTCTATATCCCCTTATTTTCTTAAACTGTCCTATTTTCCTCCTGTTAGATGGTAACATTAAGATAATCTTTAACACTATTTTCCAGATGCTCAAAACATTATTGAGGAAAGACCTTCATGACATCATTATAAGATAGTACACTGATCTGGCAACTTCCCATTCTTCCCTCACTGTCTGTTTTCTCCACAAATTATACATAAAAGTGGCAACCTAAGCTTAAACCTATACACAGAGTACTACGTGCAAAGTTGAGATATGGTAAGTACTTATTCAACCTTGCCCAATTCCTGATATCCATACCCAACCCCTGTTACACAAGTTATTAGTAGATGACTGCAAAGTTCTGTGGAGTTTACTAAAAGGGAACATAGTCGCTGTTTAGATTCCCTCTTTTAACCAAAATCATAATTGTCAATTTTGGTAAAATGTCATTAATTAAATTATCATTTCTATGTTTACTGCCAAGTTCTAACTCTCTATAAAGTTCTTCTTGAGAAAAAAAAGGCTGCCTCCCTTTATAAAATCTGATTTAATTCTAATAAATTTCATCCTTGATCCTGATACTCGTCATTTGGCCAGAACTGGAAGGAGACTATCCCTAAAATAGCTTGCATTTAAAACAAGTAAATTGATGTTTTCCTGTAGAGTCTACAATCTGAATACATTTCTAGATCTCTGTAGTTAAAGCAGCAATTCATATTGGGCTATGGCCACAGGGAAGAGGGAAACAAGGAGAAAAAAAGAGAGGCATCTTTCATCATTATTGGTTTGCTATACACATTACCCATGTTTTTAAAATATAAGTGAAATTTAATCTTCAAAATGAAAAAATAGACACATTTTCTAATAGCAAAATATAAGATTAAAATACTTGAAAAATAAAATGTTAGTGTGAAATAGGGCTTTTTTCTATTTTAAAAAAATGAAATATTTTAGATTTGCTTTTTCTGCATAAATCCTCTTATTTCATTCATAGTTACAACTTTTCAGAGTAGCTGTTACAAGACACTGAAAGAGGTGGGGGAAACTATTTTTCAAGATAAAGTCAGGACCTGAATGCATACATCAGATAGAGCAGTCCTTGACCTCCGATCCCTCCACTAGCCCTAGAGAGAGGAATGATGCATTTCCAACCTTGAGGTTTTTCGTGACATTTTCTTCTTCTTGGGGTTAAATTCTTTTCAATAATATCCTACTTGTAAAAATGATTTTATTCTAGCTATAAAACATCTCACTTAAGTAAAACACATTTTATAACCTTGTGTAAAATGCCCCCAAACGCCATCAAGATATGGAGACCTCAGACTTTCAGAACATAAATCTAATCATATGCCCTTGAAACAGTATCAACATTTAGCAGTGATGCTATATTCTTGTATTTGTTTGTCATGAGATGAGAGGCCAGCAGGCATATGGTGATTAATAATAGTTCCTGAGCTTCTAAAGAAATTTTATAACAAAATGACTAACTGCTTAAAAGAATGAGTTTTTCAAGAGCGCCCCTTCTGTTCCATTGATGTCTTTCATCCCATCTATCTCCTTAAAGAATCTCAAGCCAAAAGAACAGGCTTCCTTTTAAGCCACCGAAAAGTGGGATCTGATGGAATCTTCCCGTAACTCCCGATGTTTTCCAACGTTGCTTTCTTCTTGCTGGTTTCGCCTCTCAATGGTTATTCTGTATTTCTTCCTGGGTAGAGGGAAAGTGAATGTAGTAATAAAACCTCACTTGGCTACAAAATACTATGGTTTCTCTTACAAAGAATGCCCTCAAGGGACGTCTGGGTTTGGGTTGATAAATGAGAAGTGACAGAATATGAAGCCCTGGTCAGAGATTAAAGTGGGATGCCCCAAGGCGTACTGCCCTTATTCAAGGAGGAAAATTGGCCTGCTTCCCCAATACCACAGAACAAGCCTTTCCGTTCTTCCCTGGGTGCCTCGTGGGTTAAGTCCTGTCTGTTCTGCCACATTATTCCCTCCAGCTCCCAGGATATGCCCTAGATAAAGATCAGATGAAGTATACAGGAATGCAATTGTTCCCACAAAGAGTCATACATACCCAGAGTTACACTGCCATGCATAAATGAAAAAATCATGGTCCAATGACTTAATAAGCCGCAAACTTGACCCCCAAAGATTACAAAGGAATGGACAGCCCTCAAGAGGTGAAACTATCAGTATCTTGAACACACATAAATATTACAAGTGTATAAGACTGAGGGCTTAACCACAGTGGTCACGAAGCATATGGGCTCTCAAAGACTGAGCACAGACCTCCTGAGAGTGTGGACTGCTCAGAGTCACTTCCCTCTCTCCAAAAGGTGAACTCACCACCTATTTCTGAATTGGAGGAAGCCTGAGACTGGGGAAGTTGATTTCCCCTTTGTCCAGATTCTGTCTCCTCTTATGCATGTGGTGGGTGGGAGGAATTCAGGTCAGAATATCTGTGAGCAAAAGACTGCAATAGCTCTGTGGCCCACAGTGGGATACAGTAGAAACCCTGCCCCACTGCCTGGTATGCTAACCCCCTGACCACCAAACCAAAGTCACACCAACGGAAAGTTTAGCTCTTTTTACTCCCTTGCTTTTTGGGTAAGAGCAAGATATGGACAAGTCACAAGGAGGATCGTGCAAAGGCAAATGACAAAGGCAATTAAGGAGAGTAAATTTTAAAACTTTATAAAGCAGTCCTAACCTGAAGAAGTAGAAGGCCATTAGCAAACCAGCTCCTAGTAAGGCCCCCACAACGATTCCTGTCACTGCTGATTCTTCTAGGCCACCTGCTTGAAAAAGAAACATAGATAATCTGAGTTCATTTTGAAAAATAGCTAGAAATGCCTCACTCTGACTTTTCATTTGTTGAAAATTTTCATTCATTAGAAGATATTTCATGGTTTACCACTTGAAGCAAATTTTCCAAGTTTCCTTTTTTTTTAAGAAATTTTTTCTAGGCAATCCTGTTCATTGTTGTGGTGGTGGTGGTGGTCATGGTCATGGTGTTGGTGGTGGTCATGGTGGTGGCAGTGGTGGTAGTTGTGGTCATGGTGTTGGTGGTGGTCATGGTGGTGGCAGTGGTGGTAGTTGGGGTCATGGTGGTGGTGGTCGTGGTGGTGGTGTTGGTGGTGGTGGTGGCAATGGTGGTCATGGTGGTGGTGGTCACGGTCGTGGTGGTGGTGGTGGTGACAGTGATGGCATGGTGGTGGTGGTCATGGTCATGGTAGCAATGGTGGTCATGGTGGTGGTGGTGGTCTTGGTCGTGGTGGTGGTGGTAGTGATGGCGGTGGAGATGGTGGTGATGGCAGTGGTCGTGGTGGTGGTGATGGTGGTGATTTTGCATGGGTTTCTTTTTTTACCAAGTGCAAAACTTAAAAGCACTTAAGAAAATACTAGATGAACAAATTGTTACAAAAACAGTGAGCACAATGGGAACAGAGCAGGTTCAAGAAGAATTTGAGGACAACTGGAAACTGAAGTTTTCAGATCTATGCAGATACTTTTGAGTTTCCAGCCAGAGAGGACAACCACCTGGACCATGGGACTGAGCCGGCTCTTCTCATTTTCACAGATGAATGGTGACACTTCCAAGTGCTGGGAGATTTGGTGAAAAATCTATTGGGTTAATGTTCTGTTTTTAGATGTTCTCTCACTAAAACCAGAGTTTCATGTCAAAATGTCTTATATAGATTTGTGAAAATGTAACAATTTGAAACAATCAAGTTCTGTAATGTCCCAGATATTACATAAAAATGATAAATAGCTAGCTTGTGTAGAAGGAGTTTAGGACACAGTCTTTAACACATTCTTGTATTTAATCCTCAAAGCATTCCTGAGAGTTGGGTACATTTCTTTCATTTTACTTATGAGAAAACTGAGGTTTAAAGAAATGAAGAAATGATCCTGAGGTCACAGTGAGTGAACACGATGGGATTTCAAATCCAGGCCCAATAACTCCAGAGACTGTGTTCTTAATATATTTATGTCTTTCCACTTATTGCATATACACAGATACATCGCAGTTTGAAGACTGTTTCCAAAACATAAGGAGCACACATGAGTGAATGAGTGAGTGCGTGAGTGAGAATGAGTGAGTGACTGCATGAGTGAGTGAAAGTCGCTCAGTCATGTCCAACTCTGTAGTCTGCCAGACTCCTCTGTCCATGGGGGTTCAACAGGCAAGAATACTGGAGTGGGTTACCAAGCCCTCCTCCAGGGGAACTTCCCGACCCAGGGATCAAACCCAGGTCTCCCTCATCACAGGCAGATTGTTTACTGTCCGAACCACCAGATATTAAAGTGAACCACTTCCTTGCAAGGTCGATACTCACTTAATTCTCTCCCCCACTTTGATTATGAAAGGGTCTTTCTAGAGCATTGATTTCCAACCACATTCCTGTTTGTAAGCTTCTTATAAGAACCTCCACTTGCCTCTACATTTATGACAAAGGCTGCTCATAAATAACATATTTTATACTTACTTGCTAATTTGTAAATTTTTAGGTGTCTAGGGAACATTATTTGGTTCTGGGTGGGTAAGAGAATAAATACAAACTTTGAAACAATAGATGAATAGTGAGTGACATTTAGTATTTGATATTTTAATTTTCCCTAAAAGTTTAAAACCTCAAATACCAAGAGATTATAGTAGGAGATGTAAAAATAGGAAGATGCCTTCTATCATCTTGGAAAAGGATAGAAGAGAAGAAGAACCTAGAAACCTCTGATGAAGGTGGATGCTGGTTGTGAACTATTGCCATGGGTTTTTCCACATCAGAGACAGCAATCTGCTCTTTCAGAACAGGAGCTCCAGAATGACTCCTGTGTTATTACAGATACTGCAGATGAAACACAGAGCAAATTAAGTCTCTAAACTTACATGCTTTGCAAGGAGAGCTGTTCGTGTGTTCCACCATTCTGGTTTCATCTATTCTCAGTTTTAAAGGTCCCCAAGGATATTTGACATTTGGCCGCATTTCAAAACGACCTTCTTTTCCAAAGTAATCACCAATAACCTATATAAAAGAAAAAAAAATGCACAAACTGAAAGGTGAAGTTCTTTGTTTGCAAAGGAGGCCCAGAGTACGACCCCAGACCCTCCAGCCTGACTACAATGGTGTGTTTCTGAAATCTTCGTAAATCAAGGTGCCAACAGTGCTTGTAAAGTGAGCATAATTTAGGAAGTACGGGCTCCCCATGGCAGGGAAGGTGGTTATACAGAAAGCAGTAGCCTCGGAAGGTATGGCTTTCCCCTTGCTCCTGGGAGAGAGTGCTGCCCCTCCCCCCTGCAGATCAGCCATCCGTCAGGCCCCAGTTTGTTCCAGGAAGAGAGAGGTCACGACCCATCTTATTCCCGGGCTAAGTAGGCCTCACACTGCTCAGTGAGCTTGACACAGAATTCAAGCATCAGAGAGCCTCTTTAGGAACCTTCCACTTCATCTTCTTCTGGTTAGAAGGCTCTTCTCCATCTTGACTTTGAGAGTTACCTTCTCCTCTCTGTTGAATACATCCTATTTGCACCCCACCTCCAAGCTGAACTCTTTTCAGTTAGTTCCTGTGACCCCTGAAAAATCAGTATTCTTTTATGGCTCAGTTCAAGGGTTACCCTCAGCTTCTGGTTTAAACAACTGTTTCATCAGCTACCGATCCCTGATCTAGCGCTAACTTCGCACCCAGGTTCACAGGATCCACTTCCCTACTGTCTCAGTGGCACCCTGCTTCTGGGGGACAGTGATACCCCCTGCCTTCTCTCTCCTGAAAGAGGCCCCACAGGCTCTCATGTTGGAATGAAAAGAATTCTAGATAATCACCAAACTCCAACAATCACTGGTATGTACTGAGCACATACCAAGTACTTTACACACATTCATGCCTGAGTCCTCACCATGACCCTCTCTATTATAGACTATTACTAGCCACCTTCTATAGAGGAGAGACTGGAATATACATGAGACTCAGATCATCGAGGGTAAAAGATCTTATAGCAAAGGTAACCAGTACAGATCCTGGTGGCCTGGCCCCTCCCACAGAGGCCAGGTCCATGTGGACAAAGAGAAGAACAGCCAAGTCCTTCATGCCAGGTCACATGAAGTATGACAGCAGTCATCAACCCTGACTGAGAGCCATCAGAGAATTAAAGAAGGGACTGCGTCATCTGACCTCAAACACGGTGTATTCGCATCCTCTTTATCTATATATTTATCATACAAAATTTATATAATACTTCAGGTTCCATTTCATCTGGTTCTTGTGACCACATGTGAGGTCAGCAAGGGGGATATGACGATCTCCTTGTTACGGCCGAGGAAGCTGAGGCAGAGAGCTCGTACCCCAGTAAGTGTCAGAGACTCATCTCTATGTCCTTTCCTTTCTAGTGATGCTATCCTGAAACTCCATCATCCTTTGAAATACTAATGCATGATCCAGTTTGTAACCACCCCTTGCCAAAAAAAAATCTTTTTTTTCATATTTTAAGGGAGGAAATAAATACACAAATTCACTTTTAGTCTCTCATTCAGTGATGCTGTTCTGCATCTTAGGACTGAAGTGTGATTCTCGGCCACTTGAAAGGAAGGATGTCCCCACTTAGGATAAACAAGGAACCACTTCCTGAAGCCTTCCCTGATACCCTCAGCCAGAAGGAAGTCCCCTCACTTGGAAACTTCTGATGTTCAGCTCATTTTTATTTGGAGGCTGCTTTGGGGGCAGCTGTTTGGACACCAGGACAAATACATTCCTTGGAATCTCAACAAGCAGAGGAGGCTGGGGTGGAGGTCCCATCTGCTTACCTCCTGGGTGCCCGCTTCTGTGTCCGTCATGGCAATCACAGAGAAATCCCCATACCGGTCTCCGTTGGCATCTATGGACACCTGCCCAGCAATACCTAGAAGATGAGATGCAAGGAGCTCCAGTTGGTTATTTAAAATACCTCTGTCCGCCAACAAAAACAAGAAAATGAATTGACAGGATTTTTTAAACAAACTCATGCCACAGGGAATCTCATCAGACTCGGAGCATTTTTGTTGGCATTTGGAAAGACATTGTAATTTCATCTGTGTCTGCATTCCTAAATTCTTAACATTTCTCCATTTAAAAATGAAAAGAAAAAGAAACAAATGACCTTTTTTGGGGAATATGTTAAAGAAAAAAAAAAAAGGCTAAGGCTAATCCTGAAAGCAATATGCTTATCCCATAGCTTTGTATTATTTTTTTTTAGTGAAGAGGAGTTGTAGCACATTCCTAGACCTGTCATGGGTTCATGTTATCACTGGACAAACATTATAAAGGAAAACCTGTGCCAGGGCCAGGATTCAATGAATGTGCTTCCGTGTGTGCTCCTCGAATGCACAGGAGAGCAGAGGGCCTGCTTTACAGGTCATGGGAGCCAAGAACCAAAGAAGAGCTAGCTTATCCCACTTGCGTTCATGCATTCATTCTTTGAGGGGCTGTATCTTTGTTTTCCAGTTTAATTGAGATGTAATCGACATATCTCACTGTGTAAGTTTCAAGAGTCCAGCATAAAGATTTGACATAAATATTGTGAAATGAGTTTAGTTAACACTCATCATCTCCTATAGATACAGTAAATCATTCACTGTTTATCCAGCAATTACTAGGGGCTGAATTCAATACTGCAGCAGAGGCAAAGATGACCTGGATACAATGTCTGCTCAAGAGAAAAGCAGCCTGGACTAGGAATTTATCTTGTTGGCACGGGAATCCGACCACCTGCATCTGAATCCCAGCTTTCACATTTCCTAGCTCTGTGACCTTGGGCAAGGATTTAGACCTCTGAGCCCCAGTCTCCAGAACTGTAAAGAAAGCAGGACAGTACCTCTCTGCCAAGAGGCTGCTGAAAAGATTAAGGGAGCTAACACAGGTAAAGTACTTGTGGGTTTCAGAGAAGTCAGTTGTTTTCTTCCTTTGTTATTACTATCGCTATGCCTGGAATCTGGGAGAGGACCTAGGATGGTACCCACACCACTCAGGGGACGGGCAGGAGCATCTAGCTGGAGACTCGCAGAGGACCCAGCAGAAGAGCAGGCCTTTAGGAGACATGGTGAAGCCTCTGATTTGGACAAGCAGCCAGCAGGGTGTGGGAGTGTTCTAGGTAGAAAGGCAGCCTTGTGAGTATTTACAAAGGCACAAAAGCTGAAAGGAATCAAGGGGACAGGGAGGTTTGGGGGGAGGTGGCCCATGTGGATGGAAGGGAACAGTGAGGTGTAAACCTGGAGCAGGGAGGCCAGAGCGTGGAGGGGCTGGAGTGCCACATGAAGCGTTAGGTTTGCTTGGGCTAGCAATGGTGGCTTATAGCAGCTAATCAATGAAAGCAAACATGTATATATCATTAGCTGATATTAAATATGTCTATTGTCATTTTCCTTAACTAAGTAAGAGATATATGTGTCAGCCACATCCTAAGTATTTGTTTTCTTTCATTTTAAACTGTGGCAGAGTTCAGTATAGTTCTTAATTGGGGTCTCTATTGATTTGGTTCTCACCGGAAATAAAATGAACGTCTGGGAAAAGGAGTCCCAAGGGAAAGTTCCATCCTCTAGTGTGGTTTGGAGAGAGCAAGTATTTGGGTTTGCTCTCCTCTGGGTTGTGGTTTGAAGGCCCTCTGATTTTTCCAGACTTTGGTCTACTTTGCCGGAAACAGAATGGAGCTACTATTCATCCTAATTTTTTTTTTTTTGTCTTCTTAATAGAGACTGCTTACAGAGGATACATGTATCTCAAGCTAGCTTATCCTTGACAGTCTATACAACATTTAAGTAATAAATGTCACTGAAAAATAGATACAGATGTATCTCCAAACATACTGGCTGTCCAGAACATCTGCCGTTGTGTTTGGAGGTGTTTATGATGCTGTGTTCTGCTAAGTGTTTTGCAGAGTATTTTATAAGACAAGGTGGCCCTAGTAATCCAAGACCTCATTACACTTTAAGTTATTACAGTTCTGCCAAGAAATGGGGTGTGAACCCTCAGGGTGGCCAATTAGCAAGTGAGACTTCACCTGAGACTATTATACATAAGGTGAGAGTGTCAGGCTCACAGCAGAATTTTCCTGTACATAAGTAATTAGACTTTCTACCCTCCTTTCTATTGGCCTGCAGTGGAGCTCAGGGTTTGAGCCACAGTCCTATTTACCTTGTCACCCTGACCTCTCCCACAGCGAGGAAATTCAGCTTCTTCCCAGGCCATTTATTGAAAGTCTTGAGAGTCGGTCATAAGTTTCATGGTAATAAAATCCAAATTTGTCAAATAACATCCAGAGTATTTTTCCCTTGACAACTTAGTGGTCACTTACAGCAACTATTAAAATTTTAATTGTTTTTAATTTTAGAATGGTTAGGGATTTTTTTTATAGTTCTTTGGGGGTTTACCCTCAGGTTGATCGTTGTTTAGCAAATAGAACAAGCTCCCCAAACAATTCAAGGTCAACACTTAGCTTGGCTTCAGTTATCTTTACATTGGACAGATGAGATTCTAAGTTTGGACTGAACTATACAGTTGATTATTCTGGGACTCATTTAGTATTGCCTGTGCAGACCCAGCTCTAAAATGGAAGCCTCAGATTGGCCCATGGGAAAATTTAGTCCATGACCTCTATGCAAAACTGAGTTCCAGCCATCGTGGGCACCTGCCCTTCCCTTAACAACCTCCCTTGGAAGACCAGGAGCAAATGACCACACCATGGAGAGAGGAAGAGCTAGGAACGGAATGTGGCCTACCAAAGTTGTATCCACATATGCCAGTTCTCAGGGCATGGGGCATAACTTCTGGGAAATTTGATTCTGTCCTAATATGACCCCTGACTGATCCCATCTGACTTCAGCTCCTCAGTTAAAGCTGTCAGAGGTCGAGCAAGACAACCATGAAGGGTTATTTGATTTGTTCATGTCCTACAATCTGTTCAAAGTTAAAGCAGATGCCACTCTGGGTTAGAGTAAGCTGTGGCATCTACTAAAACCAGCAAGGAGAATTGAAATCCACCAACTGTCACCACAGCTGCCATCCAGACAATTCTCACTGGAACCTGACCTCTCTATACCATCTTACCCTTTCTAATGACCAAGGACAAGGTGAGGCAGTGGGTAGAGGAGAGTCCTAAGTGAGAAAAACAGTACATGCCCCAAATCTAGTCTTGGTAAGGCAGAGAGGCACAGCCCCAGTACATTCAAGAGCTCAAACTGTTGGCATGATGCAGAGCTCAAAGGACCTTTGTCCATCATCAGCTGATCCAACCCCTCTTGATACAGGTGACCAAGGAGAAAACCAAAGGGCTGAGGTGACAGTCAGTGGCTAGGATGCTGGTTTTCTGACCTGGTGAGTGATCTCTATGTCAGTGGTCCTCAGATGATATCCGTCGGCATTGTTGTTGTTCAGTTGCTAAGTCGTGTCTGACTCTTTGTGACCCCGTGAACTGCAGCACACTAGGATTCCCTGTCCTTCACTATCTTCCTGAGTTTGCTCAAAATCATGCCCATTGAGTCAGTGATGCCATCCAACCATCTCATCCTCTGTCACCCCCCTCTTGTCTTGCCATCCAATCTTTCCCAGCATCAGGATCTTTTCCAATGAGTTGGCTCCTCATATCAGGTGGCCAGAGTATTGGAGTTTCAGCATCAGTCCTTCCAATGAATATTCAGGGTTGATTTCCTTTAGGATTGACTGGTTTGATCTCCTTGCTGTCCAAGGGACTCTCAAGAGTCTTCTACAACACCAGAGTTCGAAAGCACCAATTCTTCGGGAGCTCAATCTTCTTTATGGTCCAGTTCTCACATCCATACATGACTACTGGAAGAACCATAGCTTTGACTAGATGGATCTTTGTCAGCAAAGTGATGTCTTTGCTTTTTAATATGCTGTCTAAGTTTGTCATAGCTTTTCTTCCAGGCAGCAAGGGTCTTAATTTCATGGCTGCAGTCACCATCTGCAGTGATTTTGGAGACCGAGAAAATAAAATCTATCACTGTTTCCACTTTTCCCCCTTCTATTTGCCACGAAGACAAGGGACTGGATGCTGTGATCTTAGTTTTTTTCATGCTGAGTTTTAGCAAGCCACTCCAGTATTCTTGCCGCAAAAGTCCAATGAACAGTATTTAAAAAGCAAGAAGGATAAACAGAGCATGATATCTTTGACAATGACATTTTATTAATGATTTGTAATTACATTTGACTTAGATAATTGATAGTGTAAGTCGTTCAGTCGTGTCTGACTCTTTGTGACCCCCATGGACTACACAGTCATGGAATTCTCCAGGCTAAAATACTGGAATGGGTAGCCTTTCCCTTCTCCAGTGATCTTCCTAACCCAGGGATTGAACCCAGGTTTCCCACAGTGCAAGTGGAGTTTTTACCAGCTGAGCTATCAGGGATGCCCAGGATAATTGAAGTTGCCAACTAAAGAATTTCTCTTTTCCTCTTTCACTCTTGCAAGACAGCCCCTCTGAGTAGCCAAAGGAATCTTTCTAAAGTGTTCAATTCAAGTCACACTTTGAGTAAAATCAATGGGTACCTCTTTAATGCCTCAAGGATATAGTTCACATTCCTAGTCATGGTTTACCATGTCCTCATGCGGCCCCATGTTTTCTCCCCACTTTTTATCTCTTGTTCTTAGAATATGAAGGCACNCCACCTGATGCAAAGAGCTGACTCATTTGAAAAGACCCTGATGTTGGGAAAGATTGAAGGCAGGAGGAGAAGGGGACGACAGAGGATGAGATGGTTAGATGGCATCACCAACTCAATGGACATGAGTTTGGGTAAACTCCGGGAGTTGGTGATGGACAGGGAGGCCTGGTGTGCTGCGGTTCATGGGGTTGCAAAGAGTCAGACACGACTGAGTGACTGAACTGAACTGACATGAGAGGAAACTAGTATTTTATACACCATTAGCAGGAATATGGACTAGTAGACCTTTCTGGAAGTTCTTTGGCAATATCTAACGTACTTTGCCTTTTTATACAGTTCATGGGGTTCTGACAGCAAGTATACTTTAGTGGTTTGCCATTCCCTCCTCCAGGAGGAGAAGGGGACAACAGAGGATGAGATGGTTGGATAGCATCACCAATTCAATGGACATGAACTTGGGCAAACTCTGGGTGATGGTGAGGGACAGGGAACTCTGGCATGCTGCAGTCCATAGGGTCACAAAGAGTTGGACACAACTTAGTGACTGAACAACAACGCACTTTAAAAGGCACCAATATAATTTTGGACCCAGATAGGCCATGACTAAAAATGTTCCCTATTGGATGTACTCACAGAAATTCATCAAGATGTGTAACCTCATGATAGCATTTTGCACAATAGCAAAAACTAGATAACTGAAGTGTCCATCAATAGGAGACTGGGTAAAGAAATCCTTGTACAGCCAAAAAATGGAAAAATGTGGAACCATCATTTTAAAATGTGCTAAATTTTTGAGTGCTCATATGGAAAATTCTTTTGCTTGACATACAAGTGAAAAAGCTAAGATGAGGAATGGCATTCCTAGTATGACCCTTTTGTGTAAAGTTTTTAGATAAGATATACAAATGCATATGTGCTGGCAGAAGGCACAGAATATTTTTAGGCTGAATCATAGGAAATTTTTAATAGCCATTACATTGGGGAGAGGGGACTAGGGTGGAAAGGAAAACTTTCACTTTTCATTTTGTACATTTTTGTAGTGTTTAACTTTCCAGCCAAGAATAGTCTCATTCTTGCACAATCTTTAAATGTCAACAAAATTGCTTGAGTGAGGAGATGACATGCCATTTCTTTTGTTGTTCTTATACTTCCTCTGTTCTTAAGAAAGCAACAACCAGTATTCACCATTTCGAAAATTACAAGCAGAGAGCTCAACTGGACCTGCTCATCATCTCAAACCTCCAGATGTTTTGAACAGAGGAAAGTGTATCAGGGATAATTTCTTCTAAAACTGATCACAGAACTCTTCACAAACTGATTGCTGTGAATGAGGCTTATGACAAGTTTAAAGAAGCCTAGGGGCTTCCCAGGTGACACTAGTGGTAAAGAGGTAAAGAACCCACCAATCAATGCAGGAGACACAAGAGACTGGGATTCGATCCCTGGGTCAGGAAGATCTCCTGGAGTCGGGCATGGCAACCCACTTCAGTATTCTTGCCTAGAAAATCCTATGGACAGAGAAGCCGGACAGGCTACAGTCCAGGGGTTGCAAAGCGTCGGACATGCCTGAAGTGACTTAACACAAAATTGTTGCCATCAGGAGACAAGGTGCTTCCTATCTCAGTGAGACTCTTTCAAAGCACTTTCATAAGCTTTATCTCATTTAATTTTCACAAGCCTGTGAAGTAGGTTGATCATGACTTATTATCCTTTTATAGCTGAGAAAACTAAGACACTGGCAAGGTCCCATAGTTGTAAGAGAGAAAAACAGAACCAGGAAAAAAGCAACTTGATCAGCAGCAGAACGCTATTACCTTGTAGACTGAATCCTCACCTTCAAATGTTCGGTTCCAAGTCTGCTGGATAATTTTCCCTCCATCCTTCTTACTATAACCAGCTCTGAGTACTTCACGTAAAGCCAGGACGTAGAGGAGGATGGCATCATGGAATCCTTCAACAAACATGTTCACCTGGAAAGGAAAGCCCAGGTGGGTGAGCCCAGACACCACATGACTCACATTCAGGAATAATGTGAGCGAATATAAATGGTTAACAGGTTAGGCTCGAGGCCCGTGGCAATGGCAGAAGTGTGCAGAAGAACAACTAACAAAGAAAAGTCTACATTTTCCTGGCACCGGCTGACGTTATTTCCCCATTTGAGAATTTGGAGAAAAGACAAGATATTACCGACGTTAAGAAAAATGCACCTGTGGGCCAGGTTAAGTATTCCAGGTGCAATCGGCCTTTGCCCAGAGATAGCTCTGCACACAAGCCCTCTACTTCCCACATCTGCTCTCTACCTGAAGCCAACTCCCCATTGAGGTTTTCACCCTCATCCACCCCTGTGCTTTCCATGGTCTGAATGTGGAGCAGAACTGAAAGGACAGTAGAGATCCATTCGTTCATATTCCAATACTACCACTTGCCTAGTTGAGGGGCACAGATGCCTAAGCGTGCAAAGAGGAGTGGGTGTGGCTATCCCCTTTCTGTCCTCTCTTCTATCAGCATCAGCATATCAATTTCTCACTCCAATTTGTGTTCTGAGTAGTTCCAGTGCGTCTGAGTCCTCCCTACTTCTGGCCCCTGCCAAACTCCAAGGACAAGAGCGGAAACAGGCTGTTGGTTTATCTCGGTTGAATCCTGGCTCAAGCAAGATAGCCTTTGCGCTCAGCAACGTACAACTTCATGTGAAATTGGAGAAGTCACTTAATCTTTCTGAGCCTGTTTCCTTCTATAAGCACCGTTATAGAGCAAGTTCTGATACCACATTTAAACCCATTAATGTTCAATGAAGATGAAATGAGCAAATACAATCTTGAAGGAGTTACAGTTTCTGTAGAAGAGTACCCCCAAATTCCAGCCTTCTTATTTCAGAAGACAGGGTCCAGAATGGAATTCCATGCAGCAGGGTGAATTGGGCATCCCACAGACAACCTCAGGGAGGCCCTGTGAGGGGCATTCCTGCCCCCTCCCTAGAAAAAGACCCCAGAGGAAGAGAGCCACCTGGTCCAAACACACGAACATTCACAGAAGACATAGCTCAACATCCAGTGCTCCTCAGCCTCATCCCACTCTGAAGGACTAAGTCCTATATGCATCACAGAAACAAATATTTCAGAATTGCCAAAGCTGAGTGCTGCTGCTGAGAGGCAGGCTAGAATAATGCTTAAACAGCCTGGGCTCATACCCAGCTCTGCCACTTCCTGGCTGATTCTGCACCACTCTGGGTCTCAGTTTTCCCCATCTGGAAAATGAGGAAGATAGCCATAGCTATCTGAAGGGGTTGTTGTCATTTTAAATGAATTAGCAGATATAAAATCTGTAAACATCAGCACTCACTGTTACCTTTTGTTCTTATCGTTTGGAGACAGAGAATTATAAACCTAGGGATCTTGCTAGGCTTCTAATTCCTAATAGCAATGTTCAGAAAATAAGTGATCTACTTACTGTTACAGCATATCTTACTGACCCACTTTCATGGAAACACAGCTTCCTGTTCATGCTTTCATATCCCAAACAGGGATCTTCCACGATGTCTCATCCTTAATTCCGCCCAAGTATGATGAGTGCAGCTGGTCAGTTTTACTGACCCCCTGGGAGAGGCGGAGGATGGACAAGTAGAGTTTACGGGACAGCCCTCACTTAGCCGCTACACCCAAAGATTAATCCAAGCCTTGACAGGTTGCCTGATCTCTTTAATCTTCAATTTCCTTATCAATTAAATGAGAGTTTAGTACCAACTTATCTCCTAGAGCTCTTCTGGGGATTAAATGAACAAGTGCATGTAAAATATCTACAACAGTTCTTGGGACTGTGAAAGAAAATGGTAGACACTGGCTGTATTGCTTAGCCATCAGGCTAAACTCTCAGAGTCATTATTTTTTTAGGCAAAGCAGAATGGTGTAGAAATAACACCTACTAGTCAAAGATAATTTTCTGCTGATTTGGTTATCTAATTCAATTTTCCAAAGGAATGAAATTTTCACTTAGCCCATGGAGTCATTATGGCTTGAGAAAGTAAGTATGCTGATGAGTTCATGAGTGGACTTGAGCTGTATGATTTAATCCTCAAGCTACAATAAAAAATATTTTTTCAAAAGATCTTTCTTCTCTTTGACAATTACATAAAAATCACCCAGCTATAGTGAGAAGAATCATAGAATGGTGGAATATGGTGAATGTAAGGTGCATTTTAAAAGCTCTGATCTAATTGACTCCTTACTTTGAGGACCTAAAGAGCATCACTCTCTCTCTCTCTCTCTCAACCTTCTAGCACTCTGGAAGCTTTCCCTCTGTATTCCTTGTTCTGTGAGCCTAAGACAGCCTCCACACAGACTGTAAAGTATCAGCTGCTAGACATCACCCCGTCCACTTCTCCCTCTCCTCCTTCTTCTCAAAATCCTAACCCCAGGCCACCATGCTGCCACTGGAGACCCAAAGCACTAGAATGGGAAGAACAATGATTTGACTGAAAAACGTGAACTTGGATTACTTCCGTCCTAACAGGTTTAAGGGCTTCCGTTGTGGCTCAGACAGTGAAGAATCTGCCTGCAATGTGAGAGACTCGGGCTCGATCCCTGCATTAGGAAGATCCCCTGGAGAAGGGAGTGGCAACCCACTCCAGTATTCTTGCCTGGAGAACTCCATGGACAGAGGAGCCTGGCGGGCTCCATGGGGTCACAAAGAGCCGAACACGCTGAGCGACTAATACACACACACACACGTGGGCACACACACACACACACACACACACACACACACACAGGTTTAATGGTAGAAGAGAACAGACAGGCTCTGAACACATGTCTGAAAAGTCATTTTCTCTCGATTTGCAAATGAATCGCAAAACTTACCCTCTTTCCTCGCCAAGTAGTTGAGTGTCTCCCTCTCCTGCCAAAATTAGCAGAAGAGCTGCTGGCCCCCCATGAGGTTCGCTCACACCCCCACCCACTGCGGGGGAGGTTTCATCACACCTACCTCATAGGACCTCAAGCCAGAAGCAAAGCCCCAGAGACCGTCTTTTCTTAAGGAGAAACATTCTCACATCCACACGTGTTTTTTAATGGGAGGAAAGCCCGTTAGCACATTATAGCCACTGTAAATTGGAAGTGCAAATTTTTGTAAAAAGCAAGGGAGAAAAATAAATTCAAAGTTATTAAGTTGCTTTTGGAACACTTTCCACTGGACTTCCAGGCTGAAAGGCTTTAAAGAGGTTATCTGATCTGCCCCCTGCCTCTGGTCAGAACAACACCCAAACCTCAAAATCCTGACTGACAGAGCACGCTGTCATTACCAACAGAAGAAAACAGGATTCCCTCTTCTGACTGACCTGTTCTTATATTAAGCCTCATTTCTAGCCAGGGCTTCCCTGGTGGCTCAGGCAGTAAAGAATCAGCCTGCAATGCGGGAGACCCAGTTTTGATCCCTGGGTCGGGAAGATCCCCTGGAGAAGGAAACAGCTACCCACTCCAGTAGTCTTGCCTGGAGAATCCCATGGACAGAGGAGTCTAGCATGCTACTGTCCATGAGTTTGCAAAGAGCCAGACCCAACTGTGCGACTAACACACTTTCACTTTCACATTCCAGCAAGAAAGAAGCCTTCACTAAATTTATAAATGTAGGCATTCCCCTGCTGGACACCAAATGGTGTTAAGAGAACCATAGAGTCCATGATCCCTAGGAGTCTACAGTCTCCACTACGCAGCACTACCACTCCCCATGGGTACATAGATGGATTCCACACAAGGCAACTGTGAAATTAACCCCCAAGAGGGACCAGCTCCAGGGTAACAATGATTTTCTTTTATCATTCAAATAAGATGATCATCATTCACCATCTTTCATTCATTCTGGGGAGGTTGCCAGAACAAGAAAGCATGCTCTCCCTTCATTTCATCTCAGTTCCCTTGATTTTATCCTCTGGAGTTGGGCTATTCCATGTAAAAGAAAGCCATTTTTGCCTTTGACTTTTCTCTCTGATAGTACCTGTTAGCCATGTCTATCTGCTAATGTGGTTTCTTTTTACTTCTCCATCATGGGGAAGGCAGAATAGAAATCTAGTTCTTTTTCAAAGTGGACTCACAGGTATAGACTCACAGGTAAACTAGTGGTTACCAGTGGGGAGAAGGGAAGGAGAAGCAATATAGAGGATTAAGCAGTACAAACTATCAGATATGGAATCAGCTACAAGGATATATTGCACAACATGGGGAATATAGCCAATATTTTATAATAACTGCAAATGAACTAAAGTTTTAAAAATCATGAACCATTATATTGACACCAGTAACTCATATAACATTGTACATTAGCTATACTTCAATTTAAAAAAAAGAGGCAGAGTTCTTTTTAAACTGAGCATAAAGAGTTGCCATTTCTAACTTGGCTCCTATCTATAACAGTGAGCAGAGTCTTTTCTCACTTCTTTTTGAGGAGACAAATTCATAGGTGAATTCCTCAGTGGCTGTGTTCCAAACAAGTCAGCAGAGAATGCTACATGCCTCAGCTGTTCTGTAAAGTGAGAATAAATAGCCTGGCAGTATCTGGCTCCCAGCGTTGTCTAGATATCCAAGAAAGCCTGTAAAGCTCTCAGATGGAGGCTACCGGGAGAAACCTACCAAAGCTGAGTACCTCAGGGCTTGGCTCATGGAATCCACATGAACTCAAGTATTCATCAGGTGAATCTACCTTCCTCACCACAAATCAGTGGTTCCCAGCGCAAATGAGGAAAGTGGAGGGTGCTGGGCAGCATTTTTCAAGTCTTTTGAAAAAAAGGTGACCTTTTAACCTCTCCTTCAGTCAAAGAGGCAGTCAGGGACAAAGACTTTTTTTAATACTTTTTTAAACTATTTTTTTACTGAAGGATAATTGCTTTACAATACTGTGTTGGTTTCTGCCATACATCAACATGAATCAGCCACAGGGATACCTATGTCCTGGTATTGGAGGAAATTCTTGAGAGTCCCTTGGA